TTCAAGGTTTGTTGATGGTTATTTGCAAAATGAGCTTCATATTAAATTGCACACTGGTTTGTAGGAGGTGAACGCTTCAGGACATTTTCATGTCTGTTTTCCTAAACCTTTGTTATGACTTTTACCAAATTTTGAATCAACTTTACTATAATTTTTATGACACCAGTAAGTATCTCAGAAAAGGAAATAGATCAAAATCAGTGTTATGTCCTCTAGGTATTGTCTCAGATCTAATAAAACAAAGATTATCATTGTTTAATTAAGAAGCAATAATTGTATTGACAGAAGGCTTTGAACATAGGATATATTCTTTGCACCTTATTTACACTTGTAGTTAGCAGTTAAACATCTCTGATGAAAAAACAATAGAACTACATTTGTATTTTGTGTAACATTCTATTTCAATGCTAGTTAATTGTTCGGATAACTGTGGATTCTCTGTTCCAAAATTTTGCATCACATGTTTCCTATTTCTGGAAGATGGGTCAGCTAGTGTACAGGTGCAGACTGTATCTTGGATCTTCTTTGTGTTCTGGTGCTGTGACAAACCGTTACATAAACGCTGGCAGTTCATGAAGTCCAGTATTGTGGAAGTTTGTATGTAAATTAGGATTCCACAACAAAGTACATATGGAAAAATTAAATGGAAATGATGATTAAAAAAATGATTTCCTTATATTCAGTGTCATTTTATCATGGTGTACAGATTTGGAAGAGAGAAACTTTACTGAGAGTTGCTGCAGATCAGCTGTTGAATATTTGCTTCTGGGTATGTCCAGATACGTCCATGGAAACATATTGTTTACAAGCCCAATTACCTTTTCCAGATGTCCAAATAAGATCAAATAGGTTATGCTGTGATTGATTTGTTTACATTAATTGTACAGACAAATAAATTGCATGAAGTAGTAGACGGGAAATATTTTCTTCTTTTTATTTACCATTCTCTTAGTTCATTAAAAGATAGAAACCCATGTTTTCAGATTATTGAACTAAATTTGAACAACGCAAACGGGTAAGCAAAGGCGCCACGCGCAGTGTTGATAATCTATTTATAGATACCGAAACGATCTGCAACATGGACATGTGGTTGTGTTCACGAGTTTAAAAAAATTATAAACCCAAACAACAAAATTCAGTTATCCTTTCCCTGCTAATATCTGTGACGGAGGTGAATTGCCAGATAGATTAATCGATTCGAAAGAAATTACGCTTCCTACAGTCTCAGCAGCTAGTCGAGACGCTTTTTCATCGGGCATGTAACTCATTTTCACTCGCCAGTTGTAATCTGCCAGCTAAAATATATTAAAAATCACATACGTATAACTTCCCTCTTTAAATAACATTCACAAACGACGGATACCAAAGTATCACAAGCAGAATTCATCAACAACTTTCGCAATCACGTAACGTTTCGCCGGCGGTGACGCCATTGTGATTTGCCAGTGGTTGTCCCCCCTAACGTCAAAAACGAAGTGGGCGGGGCTTATCGGCCGGGACTGGATCGGTCTATAGGGATTCCTGCAGCTTTTTCAGGTTTCCGGATAATAAACAAAGCCTATGGGGTCGTCTGTCAAGGTAAGATTACCAGAGGAAACGGGTTTAGCATGTTTTTTTCGGACATGTCCGTAGTCGAGTCATCTCAGACCCCTACTGCCATGCTGACTAAAACGCCTACAGAAATTATGCTGTAAAATGTTCATGTATTAACACATATGTAGTTGGTCAGTTAATGGATAATTCTTTGTGAATAATTCGAATGAGATAGCCATGGGATTAAAAAGTAAAATACTACAGTACTAAATTGACTCTTGAGGTTTGATTTTCACACAATGTCATGGATCTCGTGTAGTGAGGCCATACAACATATGCTATTGGAACTATTTCAACCTTTATAATGGATAGGTTAATCGGTTTAAATTGTTATTTTAAATTATTCTGTAATTTCAGAAGGCTCGACAGATGCCCAACATCCGAGAATGACAGGATTTGTCATTTTGAAGGTGGCACAAAGGATGGTGATCCCATATTTTTCCCCCACAACAAAGGAGAACTGTTTCAGTTCAAGGATCCCAAACCACAGAGGTATAATATTTTGCAGTTAAGACATACATTTGCAATTTAAATGAGTAATCTATAATTAAATTTGTATTTAATTTAATTATTTGTATTTAGGGTATATATTTATGATTATTATTTATTTTTTCTACAGAAAAAGGAGTGTGCCTTTGGAGTGCAGTGATGTACCGGCAATCCCACTAGCTCAGAGTCCTGATGTCCAAGCTGAACCTGAACACAATGGAAGGACGGATGTGGTAAGTATTGTTCATGTCAGTATAAATCAATGTTTGTTTAAAAAACATATAGCACATTATACTCACTTATTTCATTATTTTTCACTTCTCTAAATCTTTGTGCTGAATTTATTGTTCCAATACCAATATTTGTACCATAGGTGATGGAACATGGTTACGCTTACACGTGTGGAGACCAGTGTGTGGGGAAGCTGACTTCGTTAACGGCTGAAGTCCAAGACTTGAAGGCCACAATAAAGTCCCTGGAGCAGGAAATCCACTCCTTAAACCTAAGGCGTTCAACCTTTTCTATCAATGATATAAGTGACAGTGAAGAAAAGGTTGGTTAACAAATAACAGATTTAAACAGCATAAAAAGAATGTATATAATAATTTTGTTTTACTTTCTCATTTATCTCTACCCCTTGGCCATTACAAAATTTAAAATAATGGGAACTTAAGTCACTTGTCATTCCCCTGTACACATAAAAAAACAATTAAAATGTATAATACCTATTCTTATTAAAGGAGGGCTTTCAGGTGTGCTAATAATATTGTTGCCACTACAATTAAGTTAACATTGTATGTTAAATGCAAACGCAACAATCTAAGTAAACCTCAAATATGTTTATGAGTGTTGGTGTGTGTGTGTTGAGAGGACTGGGTGCTAAATATTTTGAAGTACTGGTATTAATTTGAATGTGTGTTTACAGATGCTACTCTACACAAGCATACCCTATGATGTCTTCAAGATCATCTGCTCCATGCTGGAACACTTCGACCTCAACTACTATGCTGGATGGAAACCATCAATTGTAACCTTGGAAAATCAGCTTTTGCTAACTCTCATGAAACTTACCATGAACAGCAAAGATCTCGATTTGGCCCAAAGATTTTAAATGAGTCGCGCTACGGTGTCCAATATCTCCAATACCCTCATCCATGCTTTACATGAACTCTTTTCAGGTGTTATGGATAGCTACATGCCCAGTCAGACTAAGTGTAAAGGCAGCATGCCCAAGTCATTTGAAGATTTTGGTAGTGCTAGGACATCTATCGATGTTATAGAGATGTCTCAGGATATCACCAAAGACCTTGACTGTCAAAATAGAGCGTACAGCAACTACAAGTGCCGCCATACTGTTAAAGCTGTGACAGCTGTGGCACCTACCGGTAATGGCTCTCTAACATATTGCACCAGTCTGTATCCTGGGTCAACATCAGATGTAGCTATTGTTAGCCATTCAAATATGTTGTCTTCTTTCAAACCTGGTGATCTTATTTTAGCTGATAAGGGTTTTACTATTCATGAAATGTTGCCATCAGGTGTAAGTTTAAATATCCCTCCATTTCTGTCAGGTAAGTCTGTTTTCACAAAAGAGGAAGGTAAAATGTGTTACAAGATTATAAGAGCCAGGATACACATAGAAAGGGCGAATGAGCGCATTAAAAACTTTGATATTCTAAACCACATTCCTGCAATTTATCGCCCTATCTCCAGTAAGATTTTTCAGGTTTGCTGTTTTTTGATAAATTTGCAAATTCCATTACTCAAAGAAATAAATAAAGACTGAACATTAACAATTATCACAATCCTTTGAAAGAAATGAAAGAACAAGAACACAAAAGATCAATCTGAAGTTTATTTTAATATATATTTCACAACTGCAAATATTCAAGTATTTTCATCAAAGTATTTCTGAAATCTGTATAAATCAGCCATCTTTTTCCATTGATCAGGTGAGGTGTCTCAAGTTGACTCCTGCTGGCGACATTGCCTGGTTGCCTACCACTAGGGATGGGACGAGGAATCCCTGCTACTAGCTCTAAAGCTGAGTACCTTATTTGTCTAAAATTATCAGATAACAAGTTCGAAATGAATGACATTTTAATAAACAAAAATGCACAAAATCCACTATAATGAAGCAAATTTTTGTATGATATATTCAGGGCATGATTCATGTAAACAAGTGTCTTAAGTAAACAATATTAAATGTAATAAAGTCAGTGAGAGTCTATGTACCTATTACAGGCTCTTCACATATTGATATGGTACATATATTAAAATCACACCATAACTTAAGGCCATTACATGTGTAGGAAAAACCTAAGGCTACATCTAATAACCCTATCATAATTTCCAGACATTTACATATAAAATGAAATACTCATGAAAATTCTGGAAACACATAATGAAAGGCTTGGAGTAGATGGTGTGTTATCTCTTCCCTACATATGTAATAACACATTTTGAATATTAACATACTTTAATTAGATTGTAACATACTAAAAAGTGTATTTTCATTTCAGGAACACTGTGGGCAAGCTCAAGACACAATACAACAAGATGTTGAATGTATATTAGTTGAATGTTTATTATTTTTACAATGTGTCCTGTACAGATACTAATGAAAATAACTTTTTAAACATAATGGATGACTCACTGATTTTCTCACCAAACATTTGTACATTGTTATAGCTAAGTTATAGCTAAAATGAGATCACTTGTAAATAAATACATGGACTGTGGATAAGCACTGAGTGCTATTTGTGGTTGGGCATCTGATAAAGATATGTTCAGTAACAGTTTCCCGTAAAACTAAATAAGTTGATACACCTTACAATGGAAGTTGAAATTTACAATTGACAAACTGTACAAGATTCAAATACAACCATATCCATTGGTTCAGACAAGTTTGTTTCATGATCAACCTTCACCATGCCCTAAACAATTAACCATTCAATACAGGTGTTTGGGATCAACCTACCCCTGGGGTATCCAATAACTGTCATGGTGCGTCATGTATCCGCAACTCATGCTCCTTGCATGAAGCCCATGGGTGGTTAACCCGAAACAAAAATGTGTCAGGATAATAATTAAAGGCATTGTTTAAGTTGATACTGAGACAAACTGACCTGAATTGTACAACAAATCATCAATTGCACACTAAAAGAACATAGTCTCTTTTTCAAAATGTCAGCGTTGTTGTCACCATTCACAATATCTCCATATGGCCATGCTGAAATAAAAAGAAATTTATAATTATAACTTAATGTGGTCATGGGAGATTATTTAATCATGTAACAAAGTTCATCTTGTTCATAAGACAAACCATGAAGAATTGTTTCAGAAGGCATAAAGTAAGTGAACATCTAAAAATATTAGTCTTTTATAAGCCAGAAAATCCAACAGTAATCAATACATTTAAAAAGGGCTACCTAGTTACTGCAAAATGTTTCTTATAAACAAATGATTGTCAATTAGTAAAGCATGATAAGACAATAAAAGGCTATTACTAGTATGTGTATACAAGACACTGGTGTGTTTGAAGTGTAATCAAGGCTGCAATAAAAAAATATTTGGATAAAAAAAAAAGAATTAGATTATATTTTCATGAAACTCTTAAACATACTTCAATTACAAACGACACAAAAGCTTCATATTACTATAAGATATATGTAACATGATGGAAACAAGTTGAATACTCAGCTTCGTGTTGCTGTTTATGTTGTGGTGAACAGTCTACTGGTGATCCAGAGCCGATCCTTGGGGTGCTGATACCTTGTTTCAGGATAGCCTTGATCCTTCTTCATATCCTCTGCAGTCACTTGGTCTTCTGTTGGCTAGCTACCCACACTAAGACAATATGGTTGGAAAGTACTTGTCATAAAAGAAATCTATCAGCTTTGAGATATTTGAAGCCCATTCTGGATCCCGGTATATTCTGTGTATGAGAAGTCCACGGGGTGTCCAAATGAGGAGGTCACAGCATGTCTTCCCCATGATGTACAGTTGGCCTTGGATCTGATGGTAGTATTCATGGTCATTTGGCAAAGTAATTCTCCCATCAGTTCTGACTGCAAAGCAATATCATTTCAATAAGTAACATGCCATTTCAATAACAGAATCTTGAGTGTATCTTTATACTATTTTCCCATAACTTAAAAAAAAGCAACAACTTTGATGTTCTTGTTTTTGGCATGTAATTTGACATATACTATATCAACTGGTAATACACTGAAGAGGTATTTGTAATTTCACAGTACTAAACAAACTTTAAACTTCTGTTAATACCTAAGCAAAAATTCTTTTGACCAATGGCATCCAACGGTGGCTTGTCTCTGGCAGAAAATGGACACTTAACTTCGATGATGTCTGGTGGTGGTGTTGCAGACTGTGGAATTGGGGTTACCACAATTCCATCTGGGAAGCGCCGAGAATTCCTGATTCGTGAAGCCATATGCCTACAACGATGCATGTAACATAAGAAAAAATCCAGCAACCAAATTGTTTCTCATTACACTTTGTTTTTCATTTTTTAAAAGGCAACAATATCACTCCACACATCTCTACAAAGTATATAATGCATTTCTCTCAATAATACTATCAATCCCCAAGGAAGCTACCATATAATTTATTCCAATTAAAATTACGTATTTAGATTACAATATTACAATAAAAAGTTCGACCGAACTGGTCGAACATTATTTCATGCGAACCCCATAGAATTACCTCCCTTTGTCCCTTGGAACACTCTTCATGAACATTGTAAAATTCAACTTGTGATTGAAACCAGTTCACTGACAACACCACATGCGACAGTTTTCTTGTATATATATACCTACCTGTTTATTCAACCTTAGCCACAAGTTTACGATATTGGTCAATAGCGTTCCTTTCATGGTTGATCCCCCAAGCAATTGAGTCCTTCTTCTCCAAGTTGTAACGGGAACTGAGGCGTTTCCGAAATGAAGGTGGGTACCTGAAAAATTAAAATGATACTTGTACAACTAAAATATCATGCAATATATCAACTTGATAAATGCAATGCTCCTTTCATGCTTTTTCACTTCAAAAATGTAATGCATGTAATCCCAAATTACCCCAATAAAGTCATCAATTACATAATGGATGAATATATAATTTAAATTAATAAACCAATTCACACAATATGAATAAAATCAACAAAGTAACAAAACATTACGTACCTGTTTCTTTGGATAGCTCTCAAAATGAATCCAAAGTTTGATGAAGTAATCCTGTGTCTACGTACGATAGACCACATAGGATTGCTTCGCTGGCCTGAGGTAGCCGATGCTATGGTCTTCACTTTCTCTGGTGAAAGGAGAAGGGTCTTAGCCAGAAATGTCCTCTTACACAACGCTTGGATATATCCTGCACTCATAATAACATCCTCAACAGGAACAACGCATGGATCTTCTTTCTTTGGCTCTGGTGAGAGTATCCAATGCAAAGCTGAAAGGGGGGAAATGAAATTAATAAATGTGGACTTTCACTTAAAACTGGTAGATGTTAGTTGATAACAAAGGAATACTTCCGACTTGTTAAATCTTGTTCATGTTAATTGTTATCATTAAGTATAATAGTTGCGATTATGTTAAGGCCTTAAATAAAAAGCTTGTTCTGATTTCCCGACAGACCCTAAATATTCCAGCCAAGCCTAACAATTTTACTCACCACATAATAAAGTAAATTTATTTTCTGACACATGAGTAATGTAAAAATATTTTGCAAAAAAACCCCCCAAACCTACCTACCTACCCTAGTTCTGAAATGTAGGAAATTGGAACATTTCTTTTGTTTGGCCTTACGCTCCTTTCAATTATCTCAAAACAAAACTCAGTTGTTACATTAAATAATTGTGGTCTTTGATTTGAAGCAAAAACAACAGCAAAGAACATGAAGAAATCTTTCCCAATTCTAACATGAAAGTGATAAGAACAAATAAGAAAAACAACAGGTAAAATTCATTCACAATTAAAAAATATTATAACATCAGAATAAAAGGAGAAACATCACACAGTAACATAACACAACACAAATTTGAGGAGACTAATAACCAGTAAATCTTCCAAGCTTCTCCAGTTCACTACATAACTGGTCTCGATCTTCTTGAGTAACCTCTCTATTTAGTGCTCTGTTTAGATAAACAAAAGTAACAGAAAAACATTACTATAACAGATACTTTCATTTACAAACAGCACATGAGTTTTCACTGAGGTAACTGAAAAACATACTAGTCTATTGGATAAAATTGTAAGATTTGGACATTATTGTAATGTTTTTCATGTGGAAATATGTTAGTTTTAGTTACCTGTATCCTGGTTTTCTTGGAGGAAACAGGTCCTCCATAGTTGCAGTGTCAACCCTCATCTTAGACTTTGGTTTCTTGGTTTAACTTGGTCTTGGTCTTGCTTGCACGCTTGTATCTACAAAGTAAAAGTGAAAACAACAACTCTAAGAAATAATCTGAATTATTTTGTTGTTGTTTACATGTCATTATGACAGCTAAAACTTGATTCATATAAATGCTTAAGTTCATAAAAATATACACGGTACACCCGAGTTTAATAATGGTTCTGTCACTTTCAGCTTGATATAGGCTTTCACAAGTAACATAACTGGTTTATTTTTCAGCAAATATTATTGAAAATACAGCACCACTTAAAAGAAATATTCTTGACAAATGAACACACATAAATTCAATCAGGAGAACAGCGGCGACATGGTGGCAATAGAAATTACCCATTGGACAATCACACCTGGTCACGTCCGTCCCATAGAGGTCATTTAGTTCAATCTGTAAGTAAACAGTGTACAGTTGGCTTTTGTATTATCGAAATTATTGGTTTCTACAGACAGACACACGGAACTTATACCTTCTTGATTTCCCAATACAACACATTTCATTCATAATAATGTTCGTATTTCGCGCCAAAAATGTAAACCACTGACCTGCACTCGGTAGGATTTGTCCTTCATTGACGCTTGAACATGGCCTTCTATGTGTCCAAGCTCTGGGTCATATAAAAACCTAAGTACCCCATCGCAGCTTACAGAATTTTCGGACTTGCGAATCAATTTTGGCCTGTCTGAAGTGTAATTCACCCAGTAGATTCTACATAATGGAGAGCGCCATTGCTGAACTTTGTTTGTCACCGGAAGTCACGAAATCTCGCGATGCGCGGGATTCACTTACACGCCATATATAGTATCTCTAACTACCTAGGTCAGAATATAGTGTAAAGGCCCATATGTAGTTCCCTGCAGTAACTTCACCGCCCTTTACTGTTCAAATATCAACAAGTGGGGCATTCATGCTTCACTGCGGCATGGTATCTCAGTGGGAGGGTTATAGCTAAAACGGAACCACAGCAGAACGGCACCAAAAACGTTTGGCGAAAACGGCACCGTATTGGCGAAAACGGCTACTGATTTCTGAGCTAAAACGGCACCATATACATTACACAGTATGATGTTGACTTTCATGTTTTAGTTCGTTTAATTATAACATTAGCAATCAACATATATAGTCAAAGTCAAAGATATTTATTGTACTTAAGGCCTCCGGCCCATATACAAGTAATACAAGTATATATACAGCACATGCTACAGACATTTCACAAAGAAATTACAGTTCAGATAAGATATTGCTTCTAAGGAAAACAGCATGTTTTACATAAAGCGCAAGATTACGTATTACATTTTCATTTTTGGAAGATAGAATGGAAGCAAAGGCAGATGTAGGATATTTTAACAGGTAATTATTTGGGATATATTTTTTTCTTAAATCAGCATAATGACCCAGATTCTAATGGCATTGGTGAGCTTGATTCTAAAATAGCTACTATTAGAGCAGATTACGGTGATGCTATTCCTACAATACTGTTAGGTGATTTCAATTCGAGGGTGGGCTCAAACGATGATTATTTGTTGGAAGATGATAGTGATTGGAACTTCTTACCATTATCAGATTTGTATCTTCCCGACAGTTTCAGTGAAACTAGAGAAACACAAGACACTACAGTGAATATGTATGGCCTGGCTATTTCTTAAGCAATTTCGAGAACAATCTGTTAGCATGTATTATCAAGAATGGCATTCCTGTCTAGACAATAGTTCAAGATACCAGTTGTACAGATCACATAAGAGCTTAATTCAACCAGAACTATATCTATCTGTATTGACATCTAGAAATATCAGACGCACACTTGTCAATTTTCGATTGGGCTTGTTAGACTTATCAGTAAATAAGGGCAGACGATTTTCAATAGAGAGACGTTTAAGGATATGTCCATTATGTAACTCGGCTATAGAAGATGAAATTCGCTTTGCTTTTGTATGCCCACATTATGCTGATTTAAGAAAAAAATATATCCCAAATAATTACCTGTTAAAATATCCTACATCTGCCTTTGCTTCCATTCTATCTTCCAAAAATGAAAATGTAATACGTAATCTTGCGCTTTATGTAAAACATGCTGTTTTCCTTAGAAGCAATATCTTATCTGAACTGTAATTTCTTTGTGAAATGTCTGTAGCATGTGCTGTATATATACTTGTATTACTTGTATATGGGCCGGAGGCCTTAAGTACAATAAATATCTTTGACTTTGACTGGCTCTGCTAGAAGTGTGCAAGGTATGGGGTATACATATAGTTAATGGTAGGACACAAGGCGATGAAACTGGGTCTATTACATGTATCACACACAATGGCTCAAGCCTTGTTGATTTTATATTGGCGTCGACCAGCTGCTTTTACTTGATTAAGGATATGTTTGTCCACTCGCGGTCAGACTCTGACCACCTGCCTCCATCGTGCATTGTAGAGGTATCCGTCGAGGATTGTGGTGATAACTCGCTATTAACCAGTGTTCGTCATGTAGAGTGTGAAAAACTCGCAAAGTTCAGGTGGAATAATGATGGTTTAGACAAGTTCAATGAGTCTGTAGCGTCTAGTACAGCGAGTTGTATATTAGATGAGTTTCTTGATCTAGTCTATTCTGATATCAATGGTGCCACCGAGAAACTTGTTGAGTTTCTCCACTTTGTGGGAAGTCACTTACAATGTCGTGATGTTCAGATCCCGAAATCAAAGAATATTCAACATAATTGGTTTGATGAAGAATGCGAAAGTTCAAAAAGATATAAGTTCTACTGGCTTAATATGTTCCGCAAATGCAGATCAAATGAAAATCTAAACAGATACATTGAAGCAAAGAGACACTTTCGCCTCTTGTGCAGAAATAAAAGTAGAATGTTTAACGGTGGTATTGCTGATGAGATTCAGAGTGCAGCTCCAAGTGGTGACTGTAAGAAGTTCTGGCATAAGATAAAATCTCTGCTGAGCAATTGTAATGAAAATAACACAATTACGGCAGATAAGTGGGTGACATATTTTAAGAACTTGTTAAACCCGACGTGTCGGGAAACAAATATGAAGTTCAATGAGAATGGTGACGCATTTTTGACACAGCATGATTACTGTGCGGACTGTAACAATACTGACTTTTTATCTGCACCAATTACCAGAACAGAAATAGAAAATGCAATCAAAGTGTTAAAATCTGGTAAATCCCCAGGTATTGATGGAACACCACCCGAATTCTTCAAACATGCTCAATGCATACCTCCCTACCTAGAAATATTGTTTAATGCTATACTGGACAGCGGCATTTTTCCTGATATCTGGAATGTTGGCTTGATCATTCCACTCTATAAAAAAGGAAGCACTCACGAACCAAATAACTATCGTGGAATCTCTTTGTTGAATGTAATGGGGAAAATATTCACTTCAATCCTCGAAGTCAGAATCCGTATCTGGTTAGATTTAAACGATATACTACATGAATGTCAAGCAGGGTTTAGGCCAGATTACTCATCAGCTGATAATATGTTCGTTCTGCAAGCTCTATGCCAAAAGTATTTAAGAAAACGTAAACATCGGTTTTACGCAGCTTTTATTGACTTTCGGAAGGCCTTTGATTATATAGACAGAAACAAGCTTTTATATGCTCTTATCTCCAAAGGTATGCATGGGAAAATAATACGAATCCTCAAAAACATGTATGATAAGGTATCTGCTTGTGTGAAAATATCTAGTGTACGAACAGAAGTATTCTCGACAACATCTGGACTACGACAAGGATGTATTCTCAGTCCTGTTCTGTTCATTTTCTTTATCAACGAATTAGTAGATGAAATGAATGCACGTGGCCTACGTGGAATATTTGTGAAAAATGGTATGAATGATATACTTTTATTGTTATTCGCAGATGACGTCACTCTCATTGATGACACAGTAATAGGTTTACAAAAAAAGCTGGATACATTAAAATCATTTAGTATCAAATGGGGTCTAGAAGTTAACCTAGATAAATCCTGCATAATTGTTTTCAGGAATGGTGGCTATCTTCGAAATAACGAAAAATGGCTTTATGATGGTACAAACATGAAGGTTTTATCTCATTATAAATATCTTGGCATTGTTTTCACATCAAAACTGTACTGGTCTAAAGCATGTGAAACATTAGCTTTACAAGCTAGGAAGGCTTCATTTCCGATATTTCTCTTTTCAGAACATATCAAAATATCTCTTTGAATGTGGCATCTACTATATTTGACAGCAAAATTGCACCGATTCTGCTTTATGGTGCAGAAATATGGGGGTTTACCTATCGTGCAAACATTGAAAAATTACAAACTTATTATTTCAAAAGATATCTTCGTGTTAGCAAAACTGTATCTTCAAATATTGTACTCGGTGAAACAGGTAGAAGCCATCTTTGTGTACAGTATTTCACCCGTTGTATAAAGTACTGGTGTAGACTCCTGAATATGGAAAGTTATCGTATTCCAAAGGCATGCTATGAGATGTTAAAAACATACGACGACAATGGTGGTCGCAACTGGGTATCCCATGTACGTTTACTTTTATTTCACTCTGGGTTTTCTTTTGTGTGGTTATCGCAAGATTGTGGCGATGTAACAAGTTTTATAAGTGTTTTTAAACAGAGATGTAAAGATATAGATATACAGAATTGGTATGCAAAAATCACTTCTTCATCATTCTTAAATCATTACTCGTCATATAAATCTGTACTTGAACCGGAAAAATATATATCAGAGTTTTGCTATGATAAAGATCTCTTACGAGTTTTATTTAAATTCAGATGCATGAGTCATAAACTTAAAATTCAACACAACCGTTTTTATAAGGTAAATGCTGATTCCATTAAATGTGATAAATGTAATTGTAATTTGATACAAGATGAGTATCATTTCTTACTCGTATGTCCATTTTATTCACAACAACGCTCTTTGTACATTCCTGATTTTTATATTATATCTCCAACCAGATCAAAGTTTACCCAGCTGCTTGCAACAAAGAATGTAGAACTCCTAAAAAATATTGCAATTTATCTTAAACTATATTTACCTGTTTAAGTTGTAAATTGTTTTCCTGACCATGTTCTATATTTTGCATATTGAATTGTACTTTTGGTCATGTGGCCATAAATACTGAATAAAGCTCTTCTTCTTCTAATGTGGGCATACAAAAGCGAAGTGAATTTCATCTTCTATAGCCGAGTTACATAATGGACATATCCTTAAACGTCTCTCTATTGAAAATCGTCTGCCCTTATTTACTGATAAGTCTAACAAGCCCAATCGAAAATTGACAAGTGTGCGTCTGATATTTCTAGATGTCAATACAGATAGATATAGTTCTGGTTGAATTAAGCTCTTATGTGATCTGTACAACTGGTATCTTGAACTATTGTCTAGACAGGAATGCCATTCTTGATAATACATGCTAACAGATTGTTCTCTATCATCTAAATGTATAAGCATGTTATAAGCTAGTTTGGGGATTCTTTATTCGTGCATTCCAAGGATCTTTAACCAATATTTTAAACATCTGATTTGTGAATTTATATATATCGGATATCTACCACATTCTCCATAAACCATACAAGTTGGTGCTGCTTGCGCTACATTTTAAAACCTTTTACATGCTAAAAGGTGTAGTTTCTCTAGACATTCATGACGTTGAAATCCCCAAATTTCAGACCCATAAAGCATAATCGGTTGGATTTGTGCATCAAACAATTTAAAATATATTTTCGGGGTTAAAATTCCAAAATTCTGAGAAACTGACATAACATTAATAAGAGCCTTCTTAGCACGTGATTTCAGGTCTATAACACTCTTTTTAAAGTTCATGGTATGGGAAAACAATAGCCCGAGATAGGTATACTGATTAACAATAGATACATTTTTGCCACTCAAAAACCATTTTTCTTTAGAGGCGACAGGCCCGCCTCTTTTAAAGATAACTATGTTTGTTTTTTCAAAATTAACAAATAATTTCCATTCATTTGTATAACATTCCAAAATATTCAGTTGGTTTTGTAGACCGACGATAATATCTGACACTAAAATTACATCATCGGCAAAAAGGAGGATAAAAATTTCAATCATATCTGGAAACATTTGCACACTATGTTTACCTGCATTGGAAATATCATAATACAGTTCGCTTATAAAGAAGGAAAACAATACAGGGCTTAAAATACACCCTTGCCGAACTCCCATGGGACAGTCGAAAAAATCAGTGAAATCATCACCACAACGAACACATGATTTAATATTCAAGTACATAGATTTTAAAATAGAATACATTTTCCCTTGTAAACCTGACTTTCGTAAGCAGTGCCATAATTTACAACGATCCAAAGAGTCAAAAGCTTTCTTAAAGTCAACAAATGCTACATAAAGTTTGTGTTTATTACGTGACAGACACTTTTGTATTATTGCATTTAGTGTAAAGATATGGTCAGTAGTTGAATAATCTCTTCTAAAAGCTGCCTGGCATTCAGGAATTAAGTTTCTTAGATTTGACCAGTTTGAGATTCTGTTGTTTAAAGCAGTTGTACATATTTTCCCAATAACACTCAGTAAAGATATGCCTCTGTAATTATCTGGATTGTCTTGAGACCCCTTTTGATGTATAAGGATGATAATTGAACGAGACCAGCTTTCTGGGAAACGAACCACTTTCAAATACAGTATTAAAACACCTATGGAGGAAGGGCATTAACTCGATTTCAGAACATTTAATCATTTCGATTATAATATTGTCGGGACCAGCTGCTTTTCCTCTCTTTAAGTTATTTATAGCATTCTTTGTTGACATCGTGCTTCTCACTCATGAACGACAGAGGCATCCAAGTTGGGGTTAAAAGTTTAATATACCTTCTTCGCACATCGGCGGTTACATTTGAACTGAGCATGGGAAACACATGTACAGGTACTTCCGGAAGATACAAGGGAGTTCATTGTTTTTGTATTTTACATACCGCTAAAAACAAATGAGTAAAGTGACTGATGCGTATGTACAATATTCACAAAGCAATATAACTACAGTTTACTCCAACATTCTTTATCTCATCTACTGAAATTTGTGTTTCCAAAATCATTTGATCAACAGTGTCATAGTCATTCGAAGAGATAATATCATCGTCGAAGGAATAACCATCGCTTGAAAAAACAGCATCATTAGAAAAAAAAAAGAATTACCCCCGAACCGGCCCCAAGCCGAACCGGCCCCTGATATTTAACCCGAACCGGCCCCTGATATTTGACCCAAACCGGCCCCGGGAAGTAAATATTTCTACATTGACATATGAATTAAAGTTCCTTTAACATAAATGACGAAAACATATTACTCATATGTCTTTACATGTAATATCGGTTTTTGAAAATATATTAGCGAATATTAGTGTCGATGAGAGGCAAGTGAACATGCAAGTGCTGCTGATCACGGAGATCCCGCGGTAGAGGACATTTTATGTAATTCTTTTAAGAATCTAAAAGATCAATTGCAAAACAATACTAAAGTAAAACGTGTACTTACATTTCGTTGTACCGTATCCACAGAATTGACACATTAATTCAATACAAGAATAGCACATAAATCCAATATAATGAATTCACGTTTCACCTTTGTTACGACCAAGTTTCCAGTAACGAAAAATAATGTCGTCCTTCATCTTTTCGCATGTTTCCATGTGTGGAACATTTGTCAAGATTTTCAACACACATTAACCACCTTTCACAGAGTGAAATTTGAAATCTTCATGTCTGTATATATATAAAAATTAACTGAAATCTTCATGTCTGTTTGATTAATTGTCTGACTGATTATCGTTAATTAACCCAGGGGCCGGTTCGGGTGCGGGGACGGTTTGGGTTAAATATCCAGGGGCCGATTTGGGTTAAATATCCAGGGGCCGGTTCGGCTTGGGGCCGGTTCGGGTGTATCCCGAAAAAAATTGTCTTAAATATGTGTCATCCATTCACATATTACTATTAGGATATTAAATATTACTTTTAGGATTTGATCTCTTTCTAAATGAACGAATTTGTTTCCAGAACATAGCAGGATTGTGAACAGAATCATTCAATCTGTTCAATCTTTGATTACGGAGGTTAGATTTGAATTTTCTACATGAAGCACTATAAAACCAGCTTAGTCTTCGCTAGTACAAGCAGCCACACATACACATACACACGCATGCACGTCGTTGAACAGTAAACTGAACATATTAAGAAACCATTGAGTTTAAAGGGTAAAGTATATTAGTCAAAACACAATGGATTGAAATTAATGTCAATTCAATCTTACCTATTCATATGATAATTCATAGAAATGATTAAGTGAAAAGATTCATTATAACTCGTTCATAGGATTAAAATGACAATGAGTGTAAGCTTTCGTGCATAAAAGCAAATGATTAACCCAGCTTCGAGCTAAGACCCACTGACATACTTTTTCTATAATTATCAATCCATATGGACGAGCACTGTGAACATGCTCCATGAATCGGAATCCGAAACCGCAATCTAAGGGAGGTAACTGTCATTTTCTCACCCTTTCAACACGAGGCGAACACAATGGCACAACGTGTTTGACTACGCTCCCGGGATTTAACCGTTTTACCTGAAATAAGTATATTTTCACAATGGCAGAAGAAAAGTACATAAAGGTCAGTTAATTTGGTGGTTGTGAACGTTAAAGATCTACCAAACTCGGCGCCGATTCTCACGAGAAACAAACCATCAGCCCTTTTGAAATTAAATGTATGTTCAGATCTGGGTATATTATCCAAACTCAACTTATTATACATGCAGTGCGTATCGCGAGGGTCGCTGTCAGTGTAGGAATAGCCCATCTGATGTACCTGTGACCTCTGAGGCCCTCCACTGACCTCATTTGAGGCCCTGTATGGGTTTATGAAAGCAGGTGACATTGGGTCAGATTTGTCCTTGTCCTGCTAAATAAGATTGTGTACACTGTGTTCAGTATGTGGCAATTTATATTACCCAGGACCGGCGAAATGCATTTCAATTTGTCATTGTATATGCAGATATTTTTAATTTCTTCTGAAGTGTCTTAATGCTGTCACTTGATCTGCTGTGATGCTCATGGCTCCTAATACCTCAAATGTCAAGCTATCTAGAAGTTACAAGAGGTTTAGAACTAGGTTCAAGATAACAGGTATCAAGTTGTTCCCAAATATATATTGGTTTACTTTAAAACTATTAAGTTTCAAGGAACTGCACTGCACTAAATACTGATGTGAACCAATAATACTGACAGCTATTTCTCGATGTATTTTTTTTTGTACCAACAGTACCTTTGATGGTACCCTTATCAAGAGTGCCCCAATCATTGAAGTCAGGATTGTATGGTTTTAAGATAAACAGCACATTGCTTATAGTGTAAAGGGGGTCAACAGTGTGACTATATAAACCATTAGACTTCATTAAAATTGTAATTTGTAGGTCACATAGGTGAAAAACCTCTAACTTCCAATCTTTGTGCATGAAAAATAATCATATATAACTCTCATAAAATACATGATATAATTGCAAAATGTAAACGATACATAAACATATTTAAATCGATTCTTTCAAAACTAAATATCGATACAGTTGCAAAATGTATCGATAATTGTATTGTGTTAGAAAAAGTATCGATGCATCAGTGTATCGATGTATCATGGCATCCCTAGTAAATACATAAGTGCAGTGATGTTGAATATGGTGTTATAATTTTATATGCTGTTTTGCTAACTTAATTCAGACGCTCATTAGTTTTACTAACTTCTGTTATATTCTGCTTCTACACTGGTATTTGTAATATGCACCAAAAAATAAATGTCAAGTGAAGTTTTAATCTTCGGAGGGTCTCCTGAAATTTTGCTGACATAGTGGTTTTGAAGTTGATTTACTGGAGCAAATACGGTATTAACAGGATGCAAATTTAGTGAACAGCAGAGAAGGTCTCTAGGTGTAATAGCCGACTAATGTTTGACAGGTGACAACCTTTGACCTATCCGTCAACCTAACCTGGAGTTGATCAGTGTTTACAAAGCCAGTGCAGGGGTCAAAGTTTCAATTAATTTAGTTGCTTATGTAACCTGTTTCGCAAAAAATTTGAAGCACTATGCCATTCAGGGCTCGATTTAGTGTAATGTTACTTGCACTGGTGCAACCCAATATTACAAAGTGCAGCCTAGTTATTAGTCTAACTTGCACCAGGTGCAAGTCAATTTTTGTGTGGATAAACTTCTGAATAAAGCATCTAAATAATTCAATAGATTTTTTTTTCATTACATATTGCAATAAAAGCAGTGCAACTGGAATTTGGCAGGTGCATCTAGGTTTTTATCTAAGGTTGCACCTGGTGCAAGTAGGTTAACATCTCTTAAAGCGAGCCCTGCCATTCGTAAGCCTATGATAATATATAGAGATATGACTGGTCGTAACTTTACGAACTTATTGATTCAGGACCCTGTAGATTAATTTGACAACTATGCTTCCATGAAAGGTGCCAAATTGTACCTTGAAATATCTGAATGTGACCTTTTGAGACTGCCTTGTGTATCTCTGCATAATCAATATGGCTTATTCTTGTTCATTCTTGTGTTACATCAGATGAGATGATGAAGAGCTCCTTATGGAGAATAATCGGTTCTGCATCACCAGTCTTTAACCATCAGTGTGTGAAGTTTGGCTAATTGTTTTACTCACTTACATAACAGATGCATAGTTCCAGTGCTGGTCACTAATGTTTTTATAATCTGCATGATACTGAAAATGTGAATGAGGAGAATTTTAGTAAGTTTTGTGAGTGAAACAAATTATACTATTTTTATGCATGGCTGTGATGTTGCTTGGTTGCTTGTGTAGCAGGGCATGGAGACATCCCATAGATGACATCCCCCCTTGCTGATGGGGCTAACCTCTTTGGTCGTGTGGACAAGGTGTTCGACTTCGGATCAGAAGGTCCGTGGTTCGAAACCTAGCACAAAAGTCGAAAGGTTTATAGCAGCCACGTTTGGTGGGGTAACCTCGTGGTGAAAGTGTTCGCCGAAGACACGGGTACCATTCCCCACATGGGTACAATGTGTGAAGCCCATTTCTGGTGTCCCCTGTCGTGATATCGCTGGAATATTACTAAAAGCGGCATAAACTACTAAATCCATACTCACTCTCTCACTTACTTGTGCATGGGTCGGTGGGTTAAAGCGTTCGCCCGTCACACTGAAGACCCGAGTTTGTTTCCCCACATGGGTACACAATGTGTGAAGCCCATTTCTCGTGTTCCAACTGTGATATTGCTGGAATATTCCTAAAAGTGGTGTGAAACCATTCTCACTCACTTACTTATGGCAGCCGCTCTTGTGAACTTGTGAATTGGAACTACCTCGTCTGATATCCATTCTCATGATTCTAGGGGCGGTGGGGTAGCCTAATGGTTAAAGCGTTGGCTCGTCACGCCGAAGACCTGGGTTCGAATCCCCACATGGGCACAATGTGTGAAACCCATTTCTGGTGTCCCCTGTCGTGATGTTGCTGGAATATTGCTAAAAGCGGCGTAAAACCAAACTCACTCAGTCAGTCTCATGATTCTATACCACTCAGTTTTACAAAGGGATACTCAGATATTTAAATATACACTTGACATTATGAGACTCTGTTCGTGCATCCTGGAGAGATAAAAACTACCCCAATCAAAATGGAGTTGTATGTCATGTAGGGGTGGGTATTGCAGAGAAGTTGCATATTGCGATATATAGCGATGCGAAGGCATATGTTGCGATATGTATTGCAATATATTGCAAGAATATTTTTTTTACAAAAACTACTTATAATCGAGTCAATGCTTGATTTATAAAGCCAAAACACAACAACATCACTATGCTTGATTAAGCTTTAATAAAACCTTTTAATTATGACAAAATAACAATGTACCGTAAGGAATATTTGGCAGCACGAAGAACCCAGTTCTTTATCTGTGATGCGCGCCACAGGACCTTGTTTTCACAAGAACGCTGGGGTTGTCTTGATGCAGAATTAAATGTTTAAAGGAATGGCGAAATTACGATTCAGTGAAAACTAAATTATGCCTCGCAAAGTATGAAAAAACTAATGTGCCCTTTCTCGCAGATGGCAAGCGTCAAATGTTTCAAAGATTCAGTTATATTTTAATATATTCTAAAGAATGAGCACCTGTTGGTGTTGGAACTTAGTTTTAATAAAACCTTTTAATTATGACAAAATAAAAATGTACCGTAAGGAATATTTGGCAATAATGAAACAAGGAAAAGAACAATTTAAGAAACAGAAATATCCGAAGATTTCCGAGTGTTACAAAGTTTTCCGATTGCATGCCAAAATACCGGTTTTCGATCAGCGTATCGCAATAGGTATCGTTTTCATGTCTGAACCGGTAAATACTGGTAAACTGGTTATATTGCGCAGCCCTAATATCATGATAAATATCCCAGTCCTATATTTCCATTTTGGAAGTAGTGTCACAATTCCATATCTCTTATCACTGACACAGTTCAGAATTGTATTTTTGTGTTCTAGAGCGATAAATATCAGCAAATATAGGGCTTCTCTAGAGTGAGAGTTTGCCATAGATTGCCATGTAAGATTGCATCCTGTTCCATGTATTAATCAAATAAGAAGACTTATAAGTGAACCTGTAGCTGGAAACATTTTCCTCAGAACAAAAACAGGAGTCTTGAGGTACAAGATCTTGTGTATTCGACAAATTCTTGTAGCAAAATGACTAACAATATCGTAGCTTGTTTGTACCATGAAAAAACTGTAATGAAATTGGTGATCTGTTTTTAGTTGTTAACTGTTTAAAGTGGCGAATTGGTTCAGGGCCCCTTTCCTAGCAATTGTACTGCTAAGGTGATAGTAAGTCCCATGCTTTAACATGTTTAACATAGACTTACGACTGTCGTTGGGCTACGATCACTTAGTGGACCGGGGTCCAGGGTAATTACCACAGAATGAAGATTTGATTCACTGGACGATCAAAGATGTGCAGCTCCAAACCTCTAATTTATTTGATCATTTAATAATATATGAGACTGATTTACCATAAAAGAACATTAACACAGTAGTTACATTGTGTGACCCACATTGTATAATTTAGACCCATCATGAATGGTGTATGTAGTTATCTTCGTTATCTCATGTCCCAGTGGCCTAGATTAGTGCACATGAGGTCAGGACGCTGAGTGCGTCGTGAAAGAAAGAAAGAAAGAAACATTTGCTTGTCAGACTTTCTGTATTTTTGATCGAAGTTACACCGATATTTATCTATAAGGTCTGACCAATTTTATTTTTTGTTTTACAGATTTTTGTCCTCAGAAAACCTAAAGGCAGGAGGGAAAAAAATAAAAATAGGATCAACAGTCAAAGTAATATTCATTCTAAATACTCAAAGTATTTTACTTTTGGCAATTTATGAAGTGTATATGGGGCAAAAAACAATCTGAAAAAAACCTTTCTTTTGTAAGTTTACATTTTTGGTCAATAAAAACATTAGGATTTTATTTTTTGAGTGGGGAAAATTAATTTTTATGTTTGTCCTTATTCTTGAAAAAATACGACCGGCGGATCCGTAAAAGAAGAAATAAATTGGTCTGGGCTAATGAGTAGATATTTAGCAAACAGC